GCGTCCTGTTCATCTACTGATGGACTGAGTCCTACTTTGATGAAGCTTTAGAGCTTTAATGTTTGATAGGTACAGGGTTATACTTTTATTGTTTCTGCACACACATACTCATATACAGACACACCCCCACCTCCACCCCACTTGAATACACTTACATTCATTTGGAAAAGGAGTAAGACAGGCAAAGCTTTAGGATCACTGCTATCAGTAAAGGATGTTATGCTCAATATTGAATTCACAGACTTTTCTCCAGAAGTTTCTTTATTAAATACAAAAAGGGCTGCAGGCTGACCGCAACACCAAAACAAGTCACTGTATTTGTTTTACAAACAGCTAGATATGTAGGACAGTGAAAGGTCATACAAATGCCTCTGCTTTGCATTCCAGTTCTGCTCTCCATAATCTTGTAAATGAGTGGGATGCCAGGTGAGCAGCTGTGGAGGTAAGGGGCAGCCCTGTGGTACTGTGCAACAGGGGCAGTTATGACTGCTAGGATCTGGTGGTCTATCAACTTAGTAGCCAGAAAGGATTTTTTTCCTGAGCCTTCCCTTCTTGAACTGTATGAATGCAGGATAACTCTCAGGTGTTCTGGAAAATAAACACACAAGCAAACAACCCCCACCCCAAAATCCACAAAACAAAATCAAAAGAAACTGCATCATTCCCCTGTCTTCCTTCCTAAACAGAAAGGTCTCTCAGAGATGAGCCACTTTATTCCCTCCTTGTACATCAATTTAAAGTCCCTGTTCATGTAGGTCTTCTCTGTGTTCCTTTCCTGGACCTGAAATTTGCAAGTCTTTCCACCACTGTGGATCTAGTCCACCTGCCCCATCGCTATTCTGGGTTGTCCACACTGCTGTAGTGGTTACTGAAATGAAAAACAACACAATTGAAAGAGTTAACAACAGCAGCCCACAGAGCCCTTTAAGAACCAAGGACTTTGATGCAAGTAACATTTCTGCTCGGTTTTGAATGCTGGGTGCTATTTCTTGCAAGATACTTTCTCTTCAAACTGGGAATATTATAGAGAGCAGAATTCAAGCAACACTAAAGAGCACAGAATGTGAGCGTGTGTCAGAGGGAGAGGGAAGGAAACAGAGGATTAATGGGATATTGGGACCATGATAAATAGAGCTAGGAAGTGGGAATTAATTCGACTAACAAAAGCTGTTCTCAAGAGTTCTAAAATAAGCATCACTTGCAAAGGGTACAAGCAATAGAAAGAAAAGCAGCTCATGGGACAGCAGGGAGAGAAAATAAAAGTGCACGCTAACACCTGCAGTGAATTTTTGGCAAGCACAAGAACAGTGAGTAGCCCGTAACTGATGGAGTGACAGTGCAGCAATGGATGGGCTTGAATGCACGATCAGATAAATTGCTTGGAGAGATTTTATACTTTTATACTTTAGAGTCTGGGAGAAAATAAAGACCAAATTGAACCAATTAAGATATCTCCACATTGTATTTTTCAATTCAATGTGGAATGGACAATGCAATAAGTATATTCCAGTATTACAGTTTTATTTGTTATCACTTTGTCAGGTAAGTGTTGTTCATGTACCATGTGGCAAAACAAAATTAAATTATTAAGAGCCAATTATGAGCTGCAGCCCTGCCAAAGGTGAAATAACTACAATTAAAACTGTAGAAAGACTGGCCATCATGCGCAATGAGACTTTTGTGATAACAGTAATTTTTATCATTGTTTCTGTATTACTTTGAATTTCCTTACACCAACTTCCATTTAAAACTGTTTTGACTTGTAACCACACAACTTCCCAGACGGTCGCTCTACATGCCAAACAAAGTGATTCTGTGCTAAGTAAGGACAGCAAACCATGTCGTTGTGAGAGCAAGGTTAAATGAGGGCCATGCCAAGCCTGGAAAGTAACCCTGGAAAGAGGTGGCACCGAGCAAGCCAGGGAGAGGAGATCTGCAGCTGTCACTTGCCCTAGTGAATCCAAGAAGGAAGGTAACATGGAGTGGCCATGCAAGGAAGAAGTAGGCACTGTTCTCCCACAAATTTGTCCAGTTAGATATTCACAGTGGTATTTATGCAAATCCAAAAAGCACTTCCCCAGCCCCGCAGCCTGCCAAATCAGACCCCAGCTGCAGACAACTGCGTAAAAAGCTGCATACCTGCTGTCCCTTTTATTCCTCTCCTCCCAACCACTTCAGTCCCTGTGAAGAAGTCTCAGTAACGTGTCTGCTATGTCTCAGCCTGACTCCTCATTCTGCTGGCTCACCCAGTTCTTGGAGCTGATGCTCTCTCCGATTATCCTCGTCAGTGCAATGCACGGCATTTCTGGGCCCTCCAGATACACAGCAGGCTAGGTAGACAGAGAAGTCCCAATGATTTGGTGGTGTTCATCATAAGAGAGACAAGATTTTCCATCCCAAGGTGGAGACATGTTTCTTGTATCTTTCAGTCCCTTTATTTCCTCGTGGTCCTAGTTGCTGCTCCTGATGGCTCCTGTTGAATAGTTGCTCTGTAGCAATGTACCACATGTAAAGGAGATGAACAGGTCCCATAATTCCTCTCTATGGCATACCAGATGCCATAACCTCAACCTCATGCCCGCTGGTAGCATGTTTGTCAGATAGCTTCCCCTGAGACCAAAACTGGAGATACAATCACTTGTATTGCAGATAAAAAAGCAATGTTCACTGTGAAAATAGTGCACAACTGAACTCCATAACATGTATAGTTTTGTATATAATAGTACAAGCTTCTGAAGAACTTAAGCCTTACGCAGCGGAGTGCAGAAAACAGCCCACCTAAACACCATGGAAACTCTACCTGCACCATTAGAGCTGTGGTACCCCTTGGTTTCCATGAGAGACCATGACTCTACACCAGGGGAGACAGCGTAAGTGCATGCCTTATATAAGTCTGATCTAAACGGCAGCAGTAATCTCTGGGCACTCTCAGAAGCGAAAGTGTGGACACAAGATCTGTTACTGGCATCATAAGACAAAACACAGGACATACCACATTTCTCTAAGGAAGACAATTCCAAAGTCATTAATATACTATCAGGCAAATCAAAGCTATACTCTGCCCACTGTTGAACCCAGCACCCAGAAGCAGGAATTCGAGAGCACAAGTCAGTGCAGATGCCAAAAGCCACGCCTCAAGACTCTTACGCTGGCCACCAAGGAAAGCTCTGTCAGCTCTCCCATGCCTAGCTCTAGCAGCCAATGGGGCTTTCAAGTCCCAGACTGAGGTAATTCTCTGCAGTACACTCACAGAGCGTGCAAAGTGTTAGGCTATATGACAGTGTATTTTCCCCTAGTACAGAGAACAGCATGCATAGATTCCTGTTGCCGTACCCATACAAAAAGGCAGCACAGAGAAACACACAGAGACATGCAAGCCAGCAGCACCAGCAAAGTGAAGGCAGTGTTAGGGCTGCAGCATTCAGCTCTCTGTCCCATACTCCTGACAGCTACTACAGCTTAGCAATACCTAGGGCCCTCTCATCAGCCTTGCTTTCACCTGTCTACAGAAATGGAAATTTGTTTGCCTCATTCCAACCCAAATTCCAAACGTGTCTCCAGCTGCAAAGCTGGGTATGTACAAGGGCATAGCTTCAGTCCCCCCAATTTCCCTCCGCTGCAATCAGTCAAACAAAAGCCGTATATGTGCAGTTTCCCCTTTGCAGCCAAACATCCATACATGTCTCCCAGCTCCACTAACATCTTGCTGTAGCCTGCCCGCAGGAAGTGCTGATGTAAAGCATCTTCAGCCCTTTCACTATCAAACAAATGCCAGGGTCTTGACAATGCTGGAGAAACAAAGATCTGTCCTATCAGCTCAAGAATGATCTGACAGAGAGCATTTATCTGTCCAGTAAATTACTTAGCCACTGCCCATTCCCTGCAAGGAAAGAACAAATGGCTTTACTTACATTACCTGGTAGGAAATTGAGGTACAGTGAGCTTAAGTAATATGTCCAAGGCCAGTCAGTTGAGTCTGTGGTAGGGCAAAGATCAGAACCCAGAACTTCCTGCCTTTCAGCCACACACTCAAACCACCTTGCCCAAAACTTCCTTTGCTACCCAAGATGGGCCAGAGCCCCGAAGCCACATTTCTTAGTATGCTAACTTGCACTTGTGACAATGTGAATGCAAAGCACAGCTACAGGCCCTGCACATACACACCTATCTTTACAGCATTAGTTGTTCGTTCAAGCCTATCCCTGTCCTGCCATGCCAGGACACAGCCAGCTCCCCTGATGCACAGAGCTCAGTTTCTCTTCTTACAGTCCCTGATGAAATGTGAGTAAACACCATTCCCCCACAAACTGTACCTTTTCATCATTCCCCTCCTCCCCATCTCACTCCACAACAATCCAGCTAGGGCAAGGATCCCACAATGCTATGTAACATAATACTCACAGTGAACTTTGTTAGGAGTGGTCTGTTTCCGACGGGACATGTTTCCCTGACCTGGGAGCACAGAGTGTTCGTTCCCTCAGCAGAGGGCTCACCTGAGAAGAGAAGAGCCTGTCACACATACCACTGGAACCTCCTGAGCCTCTGGCCAAACGCAGCTGACTGTCTCGGGGTCATTCCCCCCCCTTCTGCCACAGCCATAGTCAGTGCCAGCATCCAACACAATCCACAAGCATTTCACAAACCACTGTGTACAGGCAGTCCCACCCAGTTCTCAAGCAAAGTTATAAGTAATCCTGCCCCCAGCATACAAAAAGCTAAGAGTGCCCCACCTCACGAGTGACTGCGATCTCAGTTCAAACACCCTTCTCTCTCCTGTCCGTTCCCACGACCGATAGGGCAAGAGCCTAATCAAATCTGCGACCCTGCCTTATCTCTGGGCCCCACCCAGAGAGAGACTGAGGGGACACAAGGCCCCACCGCGCCCAGAAGGCTGGCGTCGGGCACCAGATAACCCAGCCCAGGCAGACGAGGGAACCGGCCACCCTACGGCCACAGCTCCAGACACGGCAGCAGCAGCTGTGGGGACAGTGCGGCCAGCCCAGGGACAGGTCTCGGTGCAGACAGACACGCCTCAAAGGGACTGACTTCACCGCCCATGCAGACAGGCACAGGGCGAGGGGAACAGCGGGGCTGCTGTGCCCTCCCTGCTGGAGGACCTCCCGGGGCAGGCAGGGCCAGGGACGGGGGCAGTGGGGGCAGGCCGCCTGCCCTCACATGGGGAGGGACCAACGCCACCTCAGCTCACATGGGGAGGGACGCGCCCCCTTGTCCCTCACAGGTGGGGACACACTGACCCCCTCAAACTTCACCAGGGGGGAAACATCGACTCCTCATCCTCAGGCTGACAGAGGAAGGAATCAATCCCAACAGTCCCCTCAGACAGACAGACAAAAAGAGGAGCTGAACCCATTTACCCCCAGACAGACCGACACAGGGATCCCATCGACCTCCCCGACAGACACAGGGATTCCGTCAGCCTCCCACTGACAGATGGACACAGGGATCCCGTCAGTGCCCCCGACAGACGGATACAGGGATCCTGTCAGCCTCCTCAGACAGATGGACAAAGGGATCCCGTCAGCCTCACACTGACAGACGGACACGGCGATCCCGTCAGCCTCACACCGACAGAC